ATGTTACCCTTGATGCGCAGCTGCAAAACCAGCCCAAAATCTTAGCTAAGACCAGCTTTTGAAGCTCAAAATGATCCTCCAAGAACCTCAGCCCAATGGGGGTTAACTTTGATGAAGGATGTATATGCAAACAAGAAGTATTTCTCTACCTCTATGGACTTCTATGCACCAAAGGGCAATGGAGAGAGGCTCTAGAGAGGGAGGCAGAGGTTTTTTAGGTCCGAAATTTCTGGAGAGAGAGGACCTTTAGAGTGAGAAGCTCCAAAACTTGCTTAGGAAGTTCAACCCCTTGAAAATGAAATATAAGGCCTCATTATATAGCAAAATAAGAGTTTGGCCGAAAATATCTGATTTGGGACAGCTGGAGCAAGCTGGCAACAGCTGGAGGAGAAATATCTGTCAAAAATCTGAGTTTTGGGCACTTCTGGCCGATCGGCCATCTTTAGTGCCGACCAGCCATCATTTTTGGCCGATAAGGTTCACTTTTGGCCGACATATAGCTTCTGAGGTTAAATTGTGGCCGGTGGACTTCCATAGAGGCCGATGGAAAAAGTCAGTCCTGGTCCCTGCTTTGAAGAAAGCCTAATTCCTTCATCTGGACTCCTTTTTAGGTCATTCTTAAGCCTAAATTGTAGCCCCGGAAGTCTTCTTTCCAAATTTGGAAACCTCACCTCAAAATTCCAAGTGTGATAAGAGATATCCCTCTTTTAGTGAAGGTTTCTTAGTTTCGGTCCAACTAGAATGATGCCCAACTTCAGTCAATCATATCTCCCCCATCTGGACTCGGCTTTAGGAGATTCTTGAGTGAAAAATGAAGCCCTGGGAGTCTCCTTTCCAACGGTGGTGGCCTCATACCTTAAATCCAAGTGCATAGATAGATAGGCCTGATTTAGCGAGGACTGCTCGTCCCTCTCTTAGCAATTCATGCCCATCTTCTTCTTCAGCTAGGTTTCTTCTCTCTTCTCCTATTTTCTTCAACTCCAAACCCCTGAACAAGGTGTTTTGAAAGATTTTTCAAAGATTTCATCTCTCTTTCATTCATTTTCACTTTGTCCTTGCTCAGTTTGTCGAAAAGCGTATCATTTGACAAAATGTGAGCCTCGGAAAATTGTAGAAACTTTATTTCAAAAATATTTTGAAAGAGAGGGCTTTAAGGTCTAAAAACCATTCAAAATAGCTTTGGTCCAAAATGGGGTGTGAAGTTTAGATTTGTCTCTCTCCTTGCCAAAGAAACTGAACCTTTCCCCTGCACACCTTTCTCTACCAAGTAAACCATCAGTGGTGCCCAAGTCTTAAGGGCGGTCAAAAATGGGGTGTCTACACCAACCAACCCAGCTCAGCAACATAGGTCGGTCGGCAACATAGCTCGGTCGGCAACATACGTCGGCCGGCAAACTAGTTACATAGCTCGGTCGGCAACATAGCTCGGTCGGCAACATAGCTCGGTCAGCAACATAGCTCGGTCGGCAACATAGATTGGTTGGCATCATTGGTCGGTCGACAACTCGGTCGGCAACATAGGTCGGTCAGCAAACTAGTTCGGTAGGCAACATAGCTTGGTCGGCAAACTAGATCCGTTGGCATCATTGGTCGGTCGACAACTCGGTCGGCAACATAACTCGGTCAGCAACATACATCGGCCAGCAAACTAATTACATAGCTCGGTCGGCAACATAGCCCGGTCAGAAAACTAGTTCGGTCGGCAACATAGCTCGGTCGGCAACATAGATTGGTTGGCATCATTGGTCGGTTGACAACTCGGTCGGTAACATAGGTCAGTCAGCAAACTAGTTCGGTCGGCAAACTAGATCGGTTGGCATCATTGGTCGGTCGACAACTCGGTCGGCAACATAGGTCGGTTAGCAAGCTAGTTCGGTTGGCAACATAGCTCAGTCGGCAACTTCAGCAACAATCAAACGGAGCCCCAGCGCCTCCGCCATATCTGAATGGTCTACTTCTCTCTCCTCAAGGACATCATGAGTAAGATATTCAAACTTCTTTTATCTATGTTGCACATTTCATAACATTTCAGATCAAAAAGCCTTAGCCAGACTGAGCACTACTGAAAACCTCAGCCAGACTGAGCATGAAGACCTCGGCCAGACCGAGTTACATAAAGCCTCAGCCAGAATGAGCATTACTTAAAGCCTCAGCCAGACTGAGCATAAAGACCACGGCCAGACCGAGTAATTTAAAGCCGTGAGGGGCATGGTATCAGATCCTACCCACGAAGACCTCGGCCAGACTGAGTTACATAAAGCCTTAGCCGGACTGAGCATTACTTAAAGCCTCAACTAGACAGAGCACGAAGACCTCGGCCAGACCGAGTAATTTAAAACCGTGAGGGGCATGGTATCAGATCTTACCCACGAAGACCTCGGCCAGACCGAGTTACATAAAGTCTCAGCCAGACTGAGCACTACTTAAGGCCTCAGCCAGACTGAGCACCAAGGGGGAGTCCTGACCAAATTACTTAAAGCCTCAGCCATACTGAGCATTACCGAAAGCCTTAGCCAGACTGAGCATGAAGACCTCGGCCAGACCGAGTTGCATCAAGTCTCAGCCAGACTGAGCACTACTTAAGGCCTCAGCCCGACTGAGCACCAAGGGTGAGTCCTAACCAAATTACTTAAAGCCTCAGCCATACTGAACACTACCGAAAGCCTCAGCCAGACTGAGCATGAAGACCTCGGCCAGACCAAGTTACATCAAGCCTCAGCCAGACTGAGCACCAATGGGGAGTCCTGACCAAATTACTTAAAGCCTCAGCCATACTGAGCACTACCGAAAGCCTCAGCCAGACTGAGCATGAAGACCTCGGCTAGACCAAGTTACATCAAGCCTCAGCCAGACTGAGTATGGAGAAGACTCCAAACCACACAGATAACCACTCCTCTAACATGAGCACAAGCAACAATGAAGGAGTTCAACATCATGACTTAGGACCAAGCTCTAAATATACGTCAATCTACTGTCTGCCCTAGATCATTTCTAAGACCCCCACGTGGGAGACCAATCGACCGATCCCAATGGACGACCGAAAACCATATAAAAGACCTCCATGAGGAAATCCACTATATGGGAGGACAGCCACCATGCAAAAGACCACCATATGGGAGACCTCATGCGAAAGGCCTCCATGTGGAAAACCACTATGCGGAAGACAAACATTTGAGAGGCCACCAGCTGCTCCACAGCTTGAATGCCATCAACATCAAATAGAGACTAAGCACACTGTAAGTGGGCATATATTGCTTTCATGGCTGAAATATTGGCAAAAGCCTCCATCACCACCCTGTTCTGGAGCTTCTCATCATCATTGTCAGCATACTAAGACCCATCATTGCTCATGTTATTATCATATTTAACTGATGAAGTATAATATTGAACTCTGAAGAAGGTCCACCGACATGGCCTATAAAAAGCCAGCTCACCGCTCACACGGACTCACCGAGCACCATCACATTAGATCAAGTAATGGCTCGACAGTGTGTCCAAGCACACTCACGCAACAACCAAGCCCTCCAAGGCACTACAAGAAGGGCCCCAACCGAGCCTCCTAACCCAAACAATCCATCTCCATACTTCACGAAGAAACGCCGACAGCGTTAACCACTTGATTGAGCAAAACCAAGCCATGTTCCAACGAGAACTACCAGTTTCTATCCCTCTACCTCTACAAATTGTTCGTCAAAATTAGGATCAAGTCCAAAACGGCCGTCCTCAGCAACAATAGGGACCGCTTCTTCCACCACTCACTCTGCGAGCAATAGCTGACCATCTAAAATCCATCGGCCTACTGCCAAAGAGCACTGACCGACCACCAAAGTACTCCGCCAACCTCCAAAACTGCTCGGCCGACCTCCAAGGCTTCCAATAGTCATCGGCCGACCTCCAAAAATTAGCCAACCTCCAAGACTTCCAACAGTCATAGTCCGACCCCCCGGTCATCAGTCGACCTCCAAAACCATGAGCTGACCGTCCAACACGCTCTGCAAACCGAGTGAGACCCTGCGGGCTAAACAAACTCAACAAGACTGGGTCTAATTCTACAAGTAAGGTATTCAACTTCTTCTACATCGGCTGACCGTCCGAAGCCTCAGTTAAACTGAGCCCAAAGACCTTAGCTAGACTGAGTGTACAAAAGACTCCCAGACCGAGCGCCCACAGAGCCTCAGCCAGCCTGAGCACATCAAGATCTTGGCCAGACCGAGCACCAAAAAGCCTCAGTCAAACTGAGTACAAACTTATGGTACGAGCTAATCCATCACCCGACTGTCCAGGTCCTTAGCCGACCTTCCAAAGGCCTCAGCCTCGTTTGCATTGCTCTACACAAGGGCTAGCACTTTACATTCCTCACAATTTCGCACATGCCGACTCCTCTCGGGGCACGTAGTCTGCGCCACTTTGCGTCGGCCCAAAATCTCCAACTTTACTCCCTTTAACTCTCACTGCGCCTTGCCCAGTTGGTTTTTGAGCGGTCCTACCTCTATCGCAGCACCCACTCATTTGCTCAATAAATTTGGCCACCGTCGCCCTGCCTCCTTCCGTGACTTGGGGGACTACTTTACTCTTTCTTATTCCCTTCGTTAGACTAAAGCTGCACTTGGGAATAGCGGACTACTGATGGGCATAGCCCAAATAAGTGGCCCAACGGCATGACAACACTACCATAGACTTACGGCTGATAGGACTGGTCGACTGACAGGGCACGGTAAACGAACAGGCCAGAAAGGTATGGAAAAAATCAATATATACAAGTAATCACTCTCTCTCTAACTACCTTCTACTTCCTCTCTAAGCTAAATGCTTCCATTTTTTTACTAGAGGCTGTTCTAACTTAAACATCGGAGGGTCCTCAAGAAGAAACCCCACCTCCGGGGTCCTTCTCGACGGACTTGGTGCAGGTACAACTGGGAAGACGAGGTTCAATCATCCTGTGGAGCATCCGGACCCTATCCGACCCATTCCTCATCCGACAAAACTACATTATCACTTGTAATTGGGATAATTGTATTTATGTATAATATAATCAAGGACTGAATTTTAAATAGACAATGTACACATGTATGTAGAGTGTAGAGGACCCGCAATTCAATTTTCAAGACATCAAACCTATTAATTAAGATGCAGAAGACGTCATACCGGAAATAAGTAAGTTAGGAAATTATGCTCAAGAATGTCAATTTCATCCAGAGTTAGGTTCTGTTGCACCAATTTCTCAGTCCTGTGGATAGGAACAAAGAGGGAGTACAATTGCTGCAAGCACAATAAGGAATGAATGGAAATTTGAAACAAAAATTAATAACGTAATCAGACTGAAAATGCCTGAGGTCATGGAAAGTCTTCATTTTGATACACAATTGAGAGATGATAATACCATCAAATCCTCAAATTGCAAAAGATACCAAACACGAACTATATATTCTACTCTCTTACAAAGCTTTAGAAATTTAGCCCAGTCATAACTATAGTCTGGGGAAATAAAAATCAAAAGCCAAAGCATTTTGGTCCTTGCAGAACTTGATTAGAAATCACAATTGGGAACTGAGCAAATAAATTCTCATAATCAAATAAGAGAATCTATTTATTTACACAAATGGACACAATTTTCTATTTTATTTATAAATTTTTTTTCTTTTTTTTCTTTTTTTATTATACAAGCCAGAAAGAAAGAATATAAATTCATTTAAGCCTGCATTGTTGACAAGGGAAAATGTTGTAGGTTGCCTAAAAAATGATGTAAAACACAAAATTAGTTTAAAAAAAACATAAGTTAGCTTAGTGCGTACTACCCATTTCAGTTCATAAGAAATTCAGTGTCGGGTTCAATATGAAGAGCCAATCAAATTAGAGTGTATCATTCATTACTAGCAATATCCCTTTATTACTCGATGTAAAAACTTCAGACAAAATAAAGGAAATGCATTGAAATTGAGATTTTAGAAAACGAAATGAAAAAATCTGCAAGACGCATAAAAATTAGAATTGGAATTATGAGTTTGGAAATACCACTGAGATTGACTAAGGTCATGATGAGTTTTAGCTTCAAAATTGGAATTATGGACTCCAGCTCCAATCGAATCATGTCTTTCTTGTTCTTCTCCCGATGCGAATTTTCTTTCTAGCACAAATCTTGAATGAAGAGAGAATGGTGAAAGTAAATTGATAAGAGTCTTGAGAAATACAACACAATAGACGAGATCAATTTGCAAAAATATAGTCTCAGAGAAGATTTCAGATATAGAGAAAAGGAGAAGAGGAGATCAATTTCAAATATAGAGAAGAGGAGATCAATAGAAGAATGAATGAAAAGAGTAGATACCGTCGCCATCGACATCAACTACAGGTGGAAGGCAAACCCAGGGTAATCAGACCCAATAGTGCCTAACATGCTAAGATGAGTACAACACTTCCCTCGAAAAGCAAGGCACAAATTTCAGGAAAATCCTTGACATATATATCTGAAATATAAACTGTCTATCTACATACTGATTTACATACCAAGACAAATATTCACACAACACACACAAATACAATTGAAAGGGTTTAACACAAATTTAATCTCCACACTCATCAATCACAAAAAATTCAGCAAAAGATAGACATTACAAATAACAATCGATTATACAAAAAGGGTAGAATTCAAAACACCCAAAGACGATTTTAAAACAATCTGTACAACCAAATATTTGTATGAGAAATCAAATGACAATCTGCAGAGCTAAAATCATAGAAGTTAAATAGCAAACCTTATGACTTAATTCACCGTTTTCTTTCATCTAAAAAATTGACCAATCATAATAGCATGTATGTATATATATGCAGATATATACAGATAAAGAGATGCATATATACATATATGCACGTGTATAGAGAGAATTGGAGATTGATTACTATTAAGAAGACAAATTTGAAGAAAAAAGGAAAAGAAAGAGACAAAGTAGACAAGAAATCCAAATGTTGTTCGAAGTACAAACCCAAACACAGACCCTAACCCTAAATAAATTTCAAAGTAAGGCTTCAACTCATTGTATCACCACCGCCTGTGATGTTCTTCTTCATTATGGAACCCTTATTGAGTCATTGTCAATTGTTGACATCTCTACGTCGACACTCCCCCACCGTCAACTTCATTACCTATCATGGACGCCTCCTGTCATTCATCGTCTTCGAAGTTCAAAGAGAGAGAAGAGTGAAGAAATGGAGCTGGGATGAGGATTCTCATTTTTTGTTCTCTACCCCAAAACTAATGATATATATTTATATATACTAGTTCAATGGAATCGATGCTCTCTCTCCCTTCCACAATCTCCAAGTATCGATCTGCATAAATAGAGATAGTGTGCATATGTATGTGTATAGAAAGAGGAGATGGAATTCTTCTACTTTTTAATAATTTTAATATTTTTTGGGTGTTTGAAAGTTCCGTGTTTTCTTGTTTGGTGCTAATTAATTTTCATTTTGGCACTTTGTTCTCTCGGTCACACTTTTCACGATAGCAATTGCTTACCATGTAAAGTAAAATATGTTCAACAACTGGCATACATGTTTCATGTAAATTTGATATATTAACAACATGCCCTCTCTATGTCATAGAAAGTGCCATTATTTAAGGCAAACAAAGAATGTCGTAAATAAGTTATTAATATTAGCATCAACTGCATAACAAACAAACATGTTGTTAGGATATTATTTACGACATGCAAAGAAAGAAAGTCATAAAAGTGAAAAAACTGTGGCTTGTATTTACTGTATGCCGTTGATGTTATGCTATAAAAACCAAGTTTTGTTGTAGTGCCCACACTTGTGCATGCATGGATAGCGCGCATCAAGACAAGCTATACGCACACACATCCATTTTGTGGCAAAGCTAGTTTTGAAAACTCAATCTTGGTGCAATTGAGGAGGAAAGTGGCAAGAGAAAGCAATGGGAAGCCCTAGGGTGCGCCCAAGCTTTCCCATTGCCTATAAAAGGAGCCTCTCACTCTCCCTTACAAAGGGTTAGACTTTTGAAGCAAAATCATGAGTTTTGAATGAATACCACCATCTTTTCTCCCCTTAGCCCCAAAATACCACATTCTACAACAACTTTAACAGTTAAAAATCATCTAAAGGCTTGAACTAATTGAACTAAATCAGAAACTTTAGCTTGAGGAAGGCTTGCAAGGAAAGAAACTTGAGTTTTCTTGCCTTTTTTTCGCACGCTTTTCGGTTTAATCAAACCAACAGGTAAAACCCTTAACTTTTGTTAATTTCAGCACTTTTTCCCCTTTATTTCAATACCTAATCATAGTCAGGGCATTAGTGTGTCATCTTATCATGTAGGGTGCTAGTTTTGTTCGCTTTTTCACTTTATTTCGTATGTTTTCTTTATTTTTATTAGAACAACATGTTTGTTATTATTTAAACATGTAGGAATCATGCATTGAGCCCAGTTTGAATCATCGTGTAGTTAGTTTATATTTTAACTTTTTACTTGTTATTTTCTTTTTGTACATAATCATCATTTTAGTAGCTTCAAATTGGGCTTAGGGCCATTATTTGTATGTTTAGATGTGTATTAAGTCATGTTTATTTTTATGCTTTGCATGTCAGACCCTTGGAATGGGCATCCGGGTAAATTTCCTCTATTCTTCTTAGCATGTGTTTGTTTGGTACATTGTCGTTTCAATAATGCAAGTTATATGTTTTTCTTGTAAAATTGTTTGTTTTGAATGATTTTTATAAATATTGTTTAGTTTAGTTTATGTTTACATCCATGATGAAATAAAATCTCTTCTTTATTGGAAAATCATCATTTTTATGAAAAACATGACATTATTCATTTAATCTAAAATAAATGATATTTATTTTATTCAAATCACATAGTTTTAAGGCAGTAATGGTTTAAGCTTAAAATGGACTTGTGTAGAATAATTAATCACTAAAATCATAAAATAGAATATTAGTAGAGGCCAATCTCCAGATTGCCGAAAATGGGGTGCTCCCGAACCAGACAAGAAATCCAAATGTTGTTCGAAGTACAAAGCCAAACACAGACCCTAACCCTAAATAAATTTCAAAGAAAGGCTTCAACTCATTGTATCACCACCGCCTGTGATGTTCTTCTTCATTATGGAATCCTTATTGAGTCATTGTCGATTGTTGACATCTCTACGTCGATGCTCCCCCACTGTCAACGTCAATCAAGAAAGTCCCAAAACAAGCATATTTACAGTTTTAAGCAAGGCCAAAAAGTGAACACAAATAGGGCTAAGTTAACATGCAAAAATGGCCCCAAAAGAGAGATAATGAAGCGTGTAGCAGCTTCTGGCCCTAAATGGCCAAGAGCCCTTTGACAGAGTTGAAGATAGGCTCAAAATATGGTACTTTACAGTTTACGACAATCCACGAAAACAAACACAAGTATGGCTAAACTATTGTGCAAGAAATGGGCCAAAAGGGAGACAAAGAAGCAAGTGATGGTTTTTGGCCTCAAACAGAGGAGGGCCCTTCAACAAAGTTGAAGAGGGGCCCAAAACATGGTGTTTTAAAGTTAGTGACCAAACCCAAAACAGTGCACATGCAAGCTTAAAATACTATGCAAAATAAGGCCTAAAAAGAGGTTTAAACACAAAGAGCAAAAAGGGAGCTTCCAAAAGCAAAAGTCCCTTGATAAAACTTGAATAGGGGGTCAAAATAAGGCTATTTACAGTTCAGATCAGAGCCCAAAAATACAAGCACAAGGGGCTAACAAAACATGCAAAAATAAGGCCAAAAGAGGGATAAAGAGGCAAGTGACAAAAGGAAGCCTCAAACAGTGAAGAGCCCTTCAACAATGTTGAATAAGGGCTCAAAATAAGCCACTTTAAAGTTTATAACCAAGCTCAAAACAGTTTAAAAATAGGCCTAAAATACTATACAAGAAAGAGGCATACAAGAGAGGTAAAGAAGCAAGTGTAAAAAGGAAGCCTCAAACAGGGAGAGGCCCTTAAACAAACATGAAAAAGACCTGAAAATAATGCTATTTTCAGTTAGGGTCGGATCCCAAATATGCAAGAAAGTATGGCTAATATATTGAGCAAAATAAGGCAACAAAGAGGGTGGAGAAGACTTACCCTTGAAGACCAAATCTTTGACAACTCTTGGACCAAGTTTGGTGGCTCCTTAGCTCTGGAAAATAGCTCCAAGTGGCTGGAATGGATGGTGGTGGTATGGTGCTAGGTGGTGGTGTAGAAATGGTGTAGGGTTTGGGAGGTTTTGAGGGTTGGAGTGTAGAGAGAGAGATACAATGTAGGAGCTCCAAACCAAAATTTCTAACCTTTCAAGACACAGCTGGGGGGCCTGGATATATAGGCAAAAGTGTGGGAAAAAGGGGGGAAATGGATTTCAAATTTCCCCCCAAAAGTGCAGCCCCTCGGATACACAATCTAGGGGAAAACAAAATACAGATTTGTAATGTACCAGAGGAGGGGAGCAAAGCCGGCCTGGTATTTAAGTTGCAGGTGGCCGACCGGCCCTTCCCATGGCCGGCCGGCCAAGGGTCAAAAGGTTCAAGCAGTATTAGTGACCGGCCACCCCAGATTGGTGGCCTCCCATGTGTGCACAACACATCCATGTGGTCAAAAACTGGATAAAGTAAATCAGGAGAGAGAAAAACTCACTTTTATGAGGGGTTCAAAAGGGTCACACACAATTACTGGCCGGCCATATGATATTGGTGGCCTCCCAAGCGTGTACAACACAAATATGTGGTTTAGGGCTGGAAAAAGTGGCCTTAGGGTGGTCAACATTGGCTTTCAAGTGAGAAAAACGGGCGACAGAGGGCGATGGAGGAATAAAACTGGTTGTCAGAACAATTACTGGCCTCCTACCCTTCTACGACCTTCCTAACAATGAAACAGAGGTCCCTGCCAAAAATGAACTCAAACCGATGCAAAATGGAGGTTCGGGGGCCGAAACGCGCAGCCCGAGGCCCCAAAAACTGACTGTTAGGCACCGGAAGTGGTGTTCGACCACGAAGTTGGTTTTTCGAGCCACAGTGTCCCTCAGAAGGGAGCAAATAAGATGCATGCCAAAAACCGGAGCAAACGGAGGTGGTTAAGCTGTCTTAACCAAGGCACACAGCCGTCGGCTTCGAAAAAACCGGAAACCGGGCTCTAAACGGGAAAAATGGCCTACGACCACGAAACGTAGCCTACGGCCACTGAGAGATGGTCTTCGAGACCTCTCCCTCTCCTCGGGAAGAAAAAACAGAGAAAACCGAGAAAACAAAACCTGGTTCGCAAACCAAGACAAAGCACAAAAGAGCCCCGAAGTCTGGAGTCAAGGCTCGCAGCCGAGACTCTGAAACTTCTGAACGAGCACAATATACAATATCACCGAGCGCTCAATCAGTGACGTCTGAGTCTTAAGGTCGGTCAAAAATGGGGTGTCTACAGTTGCCCCTCTTTGACAGAACTCGGAAGTCATAAGTGACGGGAGTGAATGTCAAAGCCTAGAGACGACCCATTTTTGACAAGGCCGAAGACTTAGACAAACAGGTGAGACAAACAGGCGAGATAAACAGAGATGCGCCCGCAGGCGTGCCCGCAGGTAGGGGCAAAATGCAACCGATAATGCAAGAAGCCGAAGGTACTCAATGATCATGCAAATGCAGCAAGCATATACAAATCTAACTACATTTCATGCAGTAAGGATCATGTAAATAAAGCTGTAACGAAGCAAATATTCACAATAAATGCGACAGTTTTAAGCGGAAAGGCAAATCAAACTATATTTCATGCAGTTATGATGCAATCTTAGCGGGCATGTGTGATAGATACACAAAAGTGAAGAGAGTGTGATGGATACACTATATGAATAAAGTGTGATTGATACACAAAGTGAACGCGTGATAGATACACAAAATGAGCATAATGTGAAGCAAGTGTGATGGATACACTATATGAAGCAAAGTGTGATAGACACTAAAAGTGAATACAAAGTGTGATAGATGCACTATGTGAAGCAAAGTATGATGGATATACAAAAAGTGAACGCAAAGTGTGATAAATGCACTAAGTGA